GGACTTGCACAATCAGTTTCTATGTTAGAAGAAGTCCTGGAGAAGGTTTGCTTTTTATGGACTATATATTGTTATAAAACTATATATTGTTATAAAACTATATATTGTTATAAAACTATATATTGTTATAAAACTATATATTGTTATAAAATGTTCGGTTGTTGATCTCATATATTCTGTCGAGGATTTCTGAGTTTAGTATCTTGTTCTGATACTGGAGAAGATAACGAAAAAAATTGTTATCCGTCGAGCGGGATTCAAACTCGTATCTTTGGGTTTCCGGCACCGCTCAACTCATTGAGCTATCGAGTCTACGAGGATTGGTATAACGAGTCTTATCCAACTTAAGCCGGTGCACGAAATCAGGATGTGAGTTCGAATCCCGCTCGACCTGACAAAATTTTCTTTGTTCTCTGCAGTGTCAGAATAGAATATGAAAATAGTGTGAGAATAGAATATGAAAATATGTTTGAGGATCGATCTTCTGGGCCTACCCATGTTATATTTCTATAGCTAACTGAAATATTTTGGCAATACAATAATAGTTTCTACATGCACTCAAATCTATTATACCATTTCTTGACAAGCTTTCGTTAGTAGGGATACAACTACCTGAATATATTAGGAGAATTTCGACGTTTCGAGCGAAGGCCCTTCGACTGGAGTTACTCCTCTATCCTTCCCTCCACCCGCGTCTCAATGTTGGCGTTTTGTAACAAGTCATCAGTCAATTCTTTTTGCTTGGGCCAAATATTAGACTATGTGAGCAGGTGCATTTTCAGATTGTGTAAAATTACAGTATTCCATAATTTTTGGCAAATATTGTACGTTGGTATACTTACTTTCGCAAGATTTTCCCAACGACCTTCTTTGAAACAAGTGCTTTACCAATCACCGATCCTTGTCCATCTTCTATAAGACGAGCGTTTCTGACTGAAAAAGTTAGAAGAGTTGTCATGGTGATTTTTAATTATTATTTTATACGTACTTCTTGCTAATGATAGGAATATAAAAAACATATAGGCCGCCACTATACAGCCTATATAATACATCTTCTACCTCCTGGGTCTCGTATACCAGTAATTTAGTTGCCCTCAGGTCGATTCGGATAGATGAGCGCACCGAAAAAAGTGAGCTTGCCTTATATTGTACCATACGTACCAAAAAAGTTTAATTCTCACGTAAGCAATGCACCTCAACAAACAAAGAAATTGCAGGAGTGTGTGTGTGTGTGCAATTATATACTAAAATCGATCATACCAGCAATTTTCCATCCATCGTGATTTGCCCTCAACATACTTGTTGGTTCGGCAGCCATTTTGTGGTTATTGATACGAGAGAATTTGATCCTCATGTGTTTTCGTCCACATATTTGAGACGAATTTGGACAGTGAGCATACAGAACGCAGACAGGGCCAGAAAATCGGATTAGTTAATTCAAACTTTATAGGTTTTCTTATTGTTTAAGAAAATTCAATTCAGCATTTAATTTATCGAGGGATAAAGCTTCTGCAACACACACGACGATTTTTGGAAATGACATGATTGTTTTTTAAATTAACGTAGCATTTTGACGACACATTTCCCACGAGAGGGTGGGTTAGTTGATTGGCCTTTTGTGATTGGCTGTAGATGCGTTCGCTGCACCGTTGACGTATCTCGGTAAATATGACAACATCCCTGTGGAAGGAAACCGGAAAAAAACCACGACTTTCGGCAGAGCGTTGACAGATTCTTTTCACATGAGTCCATAGCGACATGGGCGTATGGGCCTAATCTTGTTGGGGGGGGGGGCCCGAACAGGCAAACTGAACATTAATATTTCTCCCCAGAATTGTAGGCACGCGCGGGGGGGGGGGAGGAGGTCACTAAAACAATTTTCCGGACATAGGGCCAAAAAAAATTTTCCGGACATACCAAACAGAAATTTTTTACAAACATACGAAAATTTTGCCGGACATATCAAAAAAAATTTCCTGACATCACGTCATTTTCGCAAAGATACAAAAAATTTTTCCGGACATATATCAAAATTTTTCCGAAAGTTTTATGTTTTGCCCGAATGTCGCACTGATTTTTGCCCGACCGTAATAATTTTGGAGGGGCACGTGCCCCCCCCCCCCGTGCCCCCGGCCCATACGCCTATGCATAGCGAGAATCGAACCACGATTTCAGAGGTGAAATTAAAGGCGCTTTTAACTTGCTTTGACGACTGCGATACCGAAGCTCCCATGGAAGCTCCCAGCTAGCTGCTTGTAGCATTGACTTTTATTCAGAGTCACTGTTTGTCTTAATTCAGATCTAGAGTTACTGCATGTTTGCTTTTATGCTTACTAGAAAATACATGCATGCAGAAATCCTCGCCTTGCTGACAAAACCATTATGTTTTCCAAACATGAAGTATTCTCATGGTAACACGATAATTTTAAGAATAGTTTTAAAATTGAAAAATCCCACCAAAATATCACTTCTAAGGTAATTCCGCAGTTTTGCATTGCGCACTTTTACTGCGCACATCTTATAACTTATAATTTCAGCCATCATATATGTACCGTTCCAAAAAAAAAAAAAATTATGACAATTCGGTTACATTCGTGCAAATAATTACGTTAAAATCAATGTTTTCAAAAAAGGCATACAAAAGTGTAGCTAGGGTTTTTGTTTCTGTAGTACTATTTATTTACTTGTATTTCACGTTTTAATGCCACAATTCCCTAAAACGATCGGTGACCCCCGTTTTTTAACTGATAATTTATTTCTTTAATGCATTTTACATTTCATATCCGAAATTAAAAGAAAAATCATTTCTGGATCTTGAAAAAATCCTTTATCAATGCATGTTCTCAAAGAAAGATATGTAAAGAAATCAGTGGAAAAGACGTTTGTGGATCAGAATTGTACACGTTAGTAGTTTCATTTTGCTCAAAACACAATAGTAGTTCAAAAATAATTACAAGATAGGTTTACTTATTAAAAGCAAAATCCGTGCTAAAAACGTCAATAAATATCGGGCTATTGTGATTATGCTGTTACTCGTAATGAGCGTCAAGATGGCGCCATATTGGGGTAAAGGTGGTATATTGTGATTGTCATATCTTCCTATTAACGAGTTCGGTGACCCCGACTTTTTTGTGATTTTACTTTAAGTATATCATAAACTCCATGCCTGGGAAGTTTCAGCACATTCTCATTTCGGGAACAATTACTGCGGAATTACCTTAATTACAAAATGATCAATTTCCCAAACAGATATATGCTAGGTATGTTATTATACGTAATATATATAAGCTTCAATTTAATGTAAAAATCAACCACAAACGCTTCGCAAAACGTCAGTAAAATGTTCTTAAAACTAAACTGCCTTTTATCAGTAAACATTGAGTTTCAAAATTGAAATAAACTGATTTCAAATTCTTCCATGAAAATAACTTTGCTTTCCTCAGGGCTGGTAATTTTCAAAATTTTCTGGGAAGCATGCCCCCAAGAGTGTTCGTGGCTTCGTTATCTCAATACCAGTCCCCCAAATCATAAAATCACTCCACCGACGGTTCCCGATACTTCACGTTCTTTCCAGTGGCCTGATGATGGGAGCGGCCGTTCCCAATTGTTTAATTCCAGTGTGTAATTTTAGATTCGTTCCGATGAAAGATTGGGGAGGGGAGACAGTGGAAAATTGACAGCAGACAATGTTGCGTATCTTGCGCGCATCTACGGCATAGAATCCGGCTCTCAACTCTGTTCTCATATAAAGTTCTATTTGATTGTATCTCCTACCGAATTAAATTGTCAAGTATTCTGAAATCAATATTTGACACTTATAAAAAGGTGATTTGTTAGGATCTTTCATTTTTCTTCAAGTGCCACCACAATGCAGGGAATGCCATTTCAGTGGCCAAAAATTGTTTCTTTTCCGCGGGAGCATGCCCCCGACCTCCTGACACTTATTTAGTTGCCCTCCCAAAATAAAATCTTGGCGGTGCCACGCGTACCGGGTCTTTCGAATTCATTTCTTTCGCTTCAGTGAAAGGAGAGAATGCAGATGCTGGACTCAAATGAAATTTTACTTTCGTGGTGCGAAGTATTTTAGTAAACGGTTAATTAAAAGTTAGTAAACACGCTTCGATTACGCAACGTAACCTCAAACGTCGCCTACACATGGTGGGAACGACAAAAAGAATATTAAAATTCAATTACGTGAAGTCTTACTGTCTGCATATAGTCTGCAAATTGACATACTTAATCATGCTGACGAACGGACTAAGTCTTGCGCGAAATTAATATATTGTAATATTAATACGACACATATGATGTCATATGAATGAGTCAGTGCGTCTTGATGCACAGTATACTGTACATTATATACACTGATGTACATTTATGAAATGGCCGATTTATAAATATTATAATCTCATTAACTAGAGATAATTTTCTTGTTTGCAGTTGTTATTTTTAACCTTTTAGTTTGCGGTAGACGAGCAAACATTAATTGCATGATATATGCATGTACTTTCATTGTGGCCCGACCATATACGGTGAAAGAATTAAATCAGTGGCAATATAGCTTTGAACTTCAAGCTCTTATCTACTTCCCAATCGTGATTAAGTCCTGTTCCCTTGCTGGAACTTAAATGCGGGAAGCGAACATATAATAATTATGTCGGCACCGTTATATCTAATTATTAGAGCTAAGCTGCTCTCTTTTGTTCTGATAAGCTTGCAAAAAAATTGTTTCATGCACGATTGAGGTAATGCATGACGAGTATACGGTCTTGGATTGTTTAATCTTGAATTTTCCCTAAAGTTGCAGTCTGCAATGTATGTAAAACACTTACTGGGACTTCTTCAGTATCTTGTCATCTTAATCTTATCTGTAAATACAATTAAGAATTTAGGTAAATAAGAATTTGTAATCAGCGCAACACACTCCGACAGAGTTTTAGGAAAGTGACAATTAAATATTTAAGCCTTTCAATATACCGGCAAGAGGAGCTACAGCAAAGATGTCTGATGTGTACACAAATATAAAAGGTAAGAATAGCACAAACTACATTTTTGAACCGAGCTCAACTGACGTGACATCAATCGTCAAAATCATCGTTACTATAGTTACTTCATAGGGTATGGAAAGTAAAAAAATTGAATGCGTTGATTGAACAACACAGACTATGGAACAGAGTCAATATGTTAAAAACATATTAAAGAATAAAATATATATAAAACAAACAATCCGAAGATTAGCATCTTGAAACTCAAGATATGAGTCAAAACAAGACCAGAATGACTTTGTTATTCTCGTCTTGTTTTGACTGCATGTCTTGAGTTTTAATAATTAAGATGTACTTTTTGATATTATCGGTGTTGGTTTTAAAATATACTTATATGTAGTAGGCTAGTCCTACTTTGACAATTGAAAGCATATAAATCACGTTTCACATTTATACTTTGCCCTTTGGCTTTGCACATGCATTATATATTTCGTGTTTCTAATTTATTCATCCTCTTTTCCATGCCTCAGAAAGTAATACTTACGATGACTTGCGTCTAGTTTGATCTGGCTTTAATAAAAACAGTTATACTGACTCTATTTAATTACTGCTTTAGCATAAATTTAATAGGATTTGTATCGTTTACTCCAAATCGTTTCGCCCAGGGTTATATATACTATAAGAACTGTCTGACGCCTGTGCCAGTGTAAGTAAACCAACTGAGTGGCAATACTGTATTAATAACAAACTTTCTAACTTTCGTTGATGGGGGAGTACTTATAAGGAGAATTTTGACGTTTCAAGCGAGGGCTCTTCGTCTGGAGTTAAGCCTGTTTTCCACTTCAACCGTATCGTATCGTAACGTACCGTAGCATTTTCTTTTGTGTCGAACTCATTAGTTCCACACTGTCGCCCAGGAAAAAAGAAATACGCTACGTTTCGGCACGATACGATTGCCAGGAAGTGGAAAACTGGCTTAAGTACTGTACTTTGTTCTATTTACTCCAGACGAAGGGACTTGAAACGCTCGAAACGTCGAAATTCTCCTTTCCGATAGTTGCATCCCTATCAACGAAAGCTTATTATTATTTATCCATATAATAATACTAACGCTTGTATTCTAAAAGCTCACTCACACTCTAAGAGTGGATCTGTTCAATCTGCATGCTGAGCAATTGGCAGTAAACGCAAAAGAGACATTGGACCCCTGCTGAAAAAGTGAGCCTGCTGTATTGAGAGAAACTTGCTGAATCTGATCAACGTTATAACTTTCAACTACTGTAAGTAATTAACCAAATTGTTAGGCTCTGGATTAAGGCAACTTATATACTGAAGCTTTTCCGCGACCCAGTGGTTAGATACTGATTTACTTTCCGCCGGGCAAAGCGTCTTTGCTCGAAATGTTGAAGTTGTGCATTTCAGGTATTTGAATCTCTCTCAGTCCGCAGCTGTCCGTTAATATCGTCGCGATACTTCACTGAGTACTCTGGCACCGACTGCGTTCGACTTTGGAAATTTATAATCCTGATAAAAACTTAGCAAACTTGCCGCAATACTAATAAAAATTAGAGTTTAATTAGTGTCAGTATATGTAACATACATGAATTCTTGAGCGAATGCTTGGCCGCCAACCCCCTTCAGTTTCAGGCCAATAAGATTTTATTGTACAATCTGAAATGATATTGCAATAGGGACATGGGGGCGGTGCGCCATTCCAAGCAAGTTTGGGGCTGTTCGACTGTTTATATAAACCGGATTCAATTTGTGGTTCATGCATATGGGTGGTCAGATCATGCACTGCGTCAAAAATATGCATGGAAGATTGCATGCAGGAATTGAATGAACGAAATTCCAGTCACAAACCTATGACAAACCTGAGAAAATTATTGAGAAAAAGAGTCGTGAAAGGCTGTCGAATTACATCGCAGTTATGATTTGGACCGATTTAGTCATTCAAATACAAAATTTATCCGCATTCCGAGAAAAGCATTCTGAAGTTGAATTAAAGAACACATACACAGTATATACATATATGTCATATATTGCGCAGCGCATCCATCCATTGAAGATGGCAAAAGTTTTTCTGCATGTGCCATATGATCTGTCTATTTTCATTTCAGGTTGACAAATTCCTAAATGACAAAACCGATTTTGATCCCTAAATGACAAAATCGCTGGCGTGTAGGCACATGCAGAATGTTTCTTGCCATCTTCAATGCCGAAAGATATTTGCCATCTAGTCTGAGCAATTTAATTTCACAAGTGCATCAGACATTAGTATACCGTCGGAAAGACTGATTTGATTGCTGTCAACATGGGCCATACCGCATGCAAGTGTATTATCTTTGCGCCAAAACAATGTTTCATCAACATTAAGACAATTTTCATATTTATGTGCGAATACTTGGCGAAGTCATTAAGTGCATGATGCCATTTGATATGATTAGTGTCATTTTCAGATCTAATTTTATTGCGCTTTTCATGGTTCCTGATACGATCTATTGCTTCAGTAATATGGTACGTATATTATACTACTGTAAAGCGCTTCAGCACTACTCTGCATCGATAACGTTTCAAAGAAGATTTAGATGTGCTAAAGAGTTCCCAAGTAACATCTGCAGCATGGGCATAGCGTGTCGCGGTATGGGGCACGCAGCGTTAACGAACTTGCGGCTCGATGCTAAGGGACATCCCTCCTTGACATAAATTAATCTTCCTCGTGCTAATACTTTCAAACGCGTTTCGCTTAATGATAGCGGAACATCCATAACTAGTTTTATTAACGACGAGAAGCCAAGAGGAGCAGATACATTGAAAAACGCAACACTATCGCGAATAACTTTTCATGAGAGGGATTAACTTTGTGATTTTCAATTACACAGTGACATAAAATCTGTGAGTATATATAGTGCTTGTATATATGCATGCATCTACAGATATACAATGCTTATTAATTTATTCTCAATATTTGTTTGTTTAATGTCGGAGAGTCCGATAATTGTCGACATTGTCGTCAGAATGTTGTGAAGTTATGTAACATGTTCTCATTTCTGGGTGGACAAACATTTTTCGGATTCAGCGAGAAAAAGATCACAGCCAGATGGCAACAGAGATTTCAAATATTGATATGTGCTATATAGAAAGAAGATAAACGGCTTTTATTGGAAAGGTTTCTGAGTTCTGACGCTTATATAATAAAATTATATAGGCCTACTATTTTGCACATGCACATTGCACATGCATATACTATAGATTCATTTACTGGCTTGCTGCCCGGAGAATGCAAGAAAAATGAGTCAAATTTCATTTTATGTTTTCATTCTCAAATAAAGTTTTTGCCGACAATATTATATTCAAGTGCCACTAATTTTAAACTGGTGATGATCTAAGATTAACATGTAAACATATATTATACTACAAAGTTTTCAACAAGCGGTTTTATGCCAAGGGCAAGGATGTAGAAATCATAAGTATATAACCAATTTCTACTTCCTGCGTGGTTAGATTACAATATATGTTGAAATACACATTTTAATTAAGTTAAAGACTTTAAAGCCGATAATACGCGCCGGTATACTGTATGCCTGTTGAACACAGAAAGCATACAAACGTTATCTGTTGTGGTGTCCGTGCCAAGCTTGGCACCGCTTTATATATTCTTCCCGTGAGTTACTGAGTTTGTTTGCCGGTTATAGTTTGTTCGGAATCAAATGCTTCCACAACGTTCTCTGAATTTCGTGGGAAAATTTCCTTATCTCTGGTTCTGGAACAAAAATAATGTCGTTCGAATCATCGCAAAAACAGTTATGGCATATGCTTATGGATGCCAAATTAATTTCTAAACAGTAATATTCTAGCGATTTATGGCCTTTGAAAGGGAAGCGAAATTGTATTGTTGATAAATCGCTCAAAATTATTAAACTAATTAAAATAATTATTAAAACTTTCGTATCGTTGGTTTTCTCTTTTTCCGCCGCATACCACTACGGATTCATCTCACTTTTCTCTTAATTTTATTAGCATTTTGAGCACAAATTAAAGCGAAGTTTTAATCCTAGCGTACGGACCAACTGCCGGGCGACAGGAGAAATGTAGCGGTCTATAACTGTATACGGTACGAAATATCAACTTTACTTGGAGTGGGAATGTTTTATTTGTAGGGCACTCCATTTTAGTACTGTCAGTGTGTCTGGTTACGATGGCAAATATTAGTAATTTAGTATGGAAAATGTTTTCAACTAGGATTCACATATGCCGCCGTATAGTAAGGAATTTGGAAAAACCTTTTAAGGCATTGTCTGCGTTATCTATCGGCACGTGCCGTTAGATTAACACATCTATTTTCAAGCGCAGAAATAAAATTAAATTCTGTATTACAATATTGAACGTCTACTGGGGGTGGGGCAGTTCCCATGGTTCACGTGGAAATATTTCCTTTGTTCTCTTGTTTCCTTTGTTCCCCCAGCTTACATTTCGTTGTTCCTTATGATATGACATGGGCCCGTATCGAGAATCGAACCCACGTTATCAGAGGTGAAGGGCGCTTGCTCTAACGACTGCATCACTGAAGCTCCCATGTTCCCATTGCAAAATATGCCTTGTTCCCTTGAAACCCGCTTGACTCCCCTAGACATTTCTATGAGAATTTTTATCAGACATTTCTTGAGACATTTCATTTCTTAATGTAACGAAGCATGTTGTCTAAATTAATATATGCCAAAAATTTGAAGTAAATTAGCTAAAAGATTTGTTGCATTTGCAAGAACTAGGAATCAAACTCTATGTAAACAATGTTAAATTAAGCAGGGTTGCTGAAATTCTGTTAGTTAATGAAAATTTGAAATTTGACGCTATGATGGGGAAACAAAATACACATGCACCATATCTATTTATTCATCTGTCACATGTACTCCATATATAGATGTAAACAAGTTGATTATCTTATTTTGCACACAATGTATGAGATAATTAAAATATATAAGCCGATAAAAAGTGAAGGATGCTTAATTGAAGTCCTCGGCAATAAATTTCGCTGCATGGGACTTGAGTATTGGCCTTATCATGAAGGGTTTGTGTGTTACCGCAAGTACAAATATATTAGCCTGAGTATACTCAACTACATTTCATTATATAAACACAAGTATTATACAGAGTTTTTGGCCACTGAGAAAAATTGTATTTAAACACACGTGAAAAATACGATATTTTTACGGGTGAAAATATCATTTGTTGTAAAACGCATTGCCACGGACGTTTTATTGTTTTTCACTGAATTTTGTTTATATAATAAACAGAAAAATACATGGATGCTTGGAAATACCGGATTTATTTCTCGTGTTGAACATGATATCTCACTCGTTCGCTGCGCTCACTCGTGATATATCATGTTCAACACTCGAAATAAATCTGGTATTTCCGCGCACCCATGTATTATTGATGTAGAGGACAGTCTCAATGCTTTCAACTTGCTGTTCAACGAAATCCTGGATTGTCATGCTCCTGTGAAGAGGATCAAAATTCGGTCCCAATCCATTCGTTACAGATGATATAAGAGAAGTAGAGAACTTATGTCTGAAAACGCGCAATCATTGGCGTAAAGAAGCAAGGAAAACTAACGATTCCCTAGCCTGGGCTAGTTATAGAAGTTTAAGAGGGGAGGTGAAAAGAGATCTACGAGTAGCAGAACGTGAATACATCGTAGAACAAATTAGAACAAATCCAAACAACACACGATGCTTTTGGAAAACGATAAGATCATGCATTCCAAAGAAATCTGCGAATCAAAGAACTTTCGCGAAAGATGACATTGTCGTAGCAAATGAATTTAACAGCTTTTTCTCTTCAGTTGGCCAAACTGCAGTTTCTAATATCAAGTCACTTGCAGAAAAATGTAATTACGACCTCTCACAGTCAGAGTTTAAATCAACTTCTCACCCTGAATCAGAACAATTTATGTTTGAAACCGTGGATTGTGAGAAGATCAGAGAAATTGTTTCGTCCATGCCAACTAACAAGTCCCCTGGAATAGATCAGATCTCGATGCGAGTCATTAAAGATAGTCTTCCCGCAATCTTACCAACAATCACTTCCATTATTAACACCTCACTTGTTTCCGGAATTTTTCCCCGCGATTGGAAAATGGCTGTTATCACACCCATTCCGAAAGATGGCGACGACGAGCAAGCAAACAACAACAGACTCATCTCGCTTTTGCCAATTTTATCTAAGGTATGCGAGAGGACGGTGCATAACCAAATGATTCCTTATTTAGATAGAAAACAACGCCTATCTACCCAACAGAGTGGCAATAGGAGATTTCACTCGACAGAAACATCCTTGATCGAGACTATACGGATTCAATCTTGAACGCTATCGATGGAAAAGAGTTAACGGCCGTTGTCCTGCTAGATATGAGTAAAGCTTTCGACAGTATAGATCACAACATTCTCCTGTTGAAATTACAAGATGTCGGACTTGTCGGCGTATCACCTGCTGCCCTAAACTGGTTCTCGAGCTATTTATCGGAAAGATTCCAGGTCGTGCGTATCAATACCGTCCTATCCGACAAACTACCTGTGAACAGTGGTGTCCCACAAGGCAGCATTCTTGGACCGATCCTCTTTAATATCTATGTTAACGAACTACTGACCAACAATTCCTCAAAGCAGTTTATCCAAGATGTACGTTGACGATAATAAACTATCACTTACTTTTCCTATTCAACAATGTGCCTCAGCAATAACAGAGATGAATAAAGATCTGTGCAGGATTCGTGACTGGTGTTTTGACAACCACCTCCTTCTCAACGCATCCAAGACAAAGCTTATGGTTTTTGCCGGGTAGTCGCCAAATGATCTCGGATTTACATTTGATTCAAGCCTTTCCTTCGACTGTCATGTCGTTAAGACTGTCTCTTGTTGCATGTCCAGCTTGGCGCAGATTAACCGTGTAAAACATGTTTTAGATAAAAGTTTGCTTGTCTTGGTAATTCGAAGTTTAGTTTTCAGTAAAATGTATTATTGCTCGTCGGTATGGGCTAACACCACTGCAAATAACATCCGCAGACTTTAAGCAGTACAGAACTTTGCCGCCCGAATTATCACTAAATCAAGAAAATTTGACCACATAAAACCCTTGTTGACTGAACTGCACTGGATTCCCGTTAAACTGTACTTACTCTACCGTGACGTTTTGACATTCAAATGTCTAAACGGAATAACACCGGAATCTTTGTCTCAACAAATTGTGAGGAGAGTCGACACAGTGGACGTTGCACGAGGAACTCAAGTTCTTTAAACATCCCCTTTTTCAGGAGTGCAACTGGCCAACGGACATTCTATTACCGTGCTGTCTCCTTATGGAACGAACTTCCAGAGAACATTAAATGTAGTTCATCAGTTAACATTTTTAAACATAAATTACGTAAATATCTTTTAGGAAATCATTCATAGTAGCATTTGGCCTTTAACAATTTTTACATCCATACCAGTAATTAGTTAGTTAGAATTTCGTGTTAGTATATCTTATAAATTTTTGTAAATGTTAATTGGCTCCGAAAAGTCCCGTTAGACCCGTTGGAGAGAGTTCAATAAATTATTGTATTGTATTGTATTGTATTGTATTGTATTGTATTGTATTGTATTGTATTGTATTGCATTGCATTGCATTGCATTGCATTGCATTGCATTGTATTGTATTGTATTGTATTGTATTGTATTGTATTGTATTGTATTGTATTGTATTGTATTGTATTGTATTGTATTGTATTGTATTCTCTATATAATTAACTATAAATTGAAGATTCTCTATATAATTAAGTAAATTAACTATAAATTGAAGCAGACGCAAAATGTACGTGTAATTTCACGATATACTAGTATATCGATTCCGATGCAAAACTTGCCTCTGAAAGCGACAGCAGAAATACGAAAAATTTATGTAAATAGTTATATAATATTCAAAAATGTATCTGCAATGATATGAAAGATATGAAAAACACTGCACATCAAGTATTACTAAAGTCTATACGTACTATCATTTGGGGGTCGGTTAATTGTTCGAAATAGCCAATTAGCCTATACCCTACTCCCTAGGTTAATCTAAATTTCGAAGTAAACTCCCAGGAAAACAATAGGAGTTTTCTTTTATGAAGTTTTGAAATAAACAAACGTGCAGAGATACACAAACTAAGACAGCAGGTTAAATCCAGGAGCTAATCAAGCTTTGGACAACCGGCCCCTGGATTCTTATAAGGGAAGATTAATTTAGAGTACAATCAGTACGACCACGCTGTTTGTCATGCTATAAATAAATTGGATTTATGAACTGAAATATGATCTTAGGCCCGGACCCAGGGGAAGCCAAACAGATGCTAATGAAAACATTTCTTACCTTACAAAACCTAGTACTCGGGAATTCTTCTTCAGTCGTAAGAAAGCTTGGAGCATGACTCCCGCACCGTCTGCATGGGAGCTTCTTTCCCGGAAATTGGATTCTCCAGTCACATCTCACTGATGCATGTCTGTCTGGGATTGGCTCATTTGCAGTTGTTTGTATTCCCTGTATGGGCATGATTGGGCAAAACTAACCAGCCCGCCATTTAGTTAACGCCCCTCACGTCCTACGGACATCCCAGCATATGCTCCCCTTCATGAATCCTCGTCGCTACTGATTTGAGCGAACAGATCAGCCGTATTACACACCTGCATGTATCTGACTAATACTCGACCCACCCTACAGCCCGTGCTGCCCCGCTATGACCTTGCCCTTTTCTCGGTCGCGGCACGTTAATTTAAGTTAAACGGTTATATACTTGCATTCAACTAATCGGCACGAAGCAGGGATTTTCGTATACCAGTATACCACTGGTCATAAAAGACTTAAAAGCCAAACCGGCTTGACTGTCATGCCTCATGGCCATGCATTGCCTCTTCAGCGGTACAACAATCTTCCAATTAGGTTAGCGTATATAACTTGTTATATTGGGTATACGCGTAAAAGTCGGGCAGGCTTGTCAACACACTGGAAAATTTTTTCCAAATCCTTAATATGGCAATAGTATGAATTTTAGTTGAAAATAGTATGGAATTTTCATACTAATTGCAATTTCATGCATACTATGGATATTATGGAAATAGTATGGATATACTATTTAACAATTAGTCGCCGAATTAAGGCGAGGTGATTACAAGCCTATATTCACTGAGCCGAAGGCGAAGTGAATATAGGCTTGTAATCACCGAGTCTGAGGCGACTAATTGTTTTAGTATAAATATCCAGGTGTTTACAAACAATAATCCACACAACTTTATAAAAATTCACTTCAAATAAATTTATTTTGACTATAAATAGTTTGTTTACAAAATTTAAATCTCAGACACGGCTCTGTGTCACGTTGCGACTAAGCCAGTTTTTTTCCAAATAAAAGCACGTAAAGTTTAATATTTTACCTTGAAATATTTTTAAACCATATTTTGTAGCTTGTTCGGGTTTTTTCGGAATGCTATCTTCTTTAATTTCGACAATTTCCTCCTCTGTTACTATACGGCAAAACGAGCAGCCATTTTGGAAAAAAAGCTATAGTCACTGACCAGTGACTATCACTTCAGAGACAATGAATCTTGACCAATCAGAATGCAGAAAAATCAATAGATTTTTAATGGATTTAGTGATGCATTTGCGATGAATTTCACTCATTTTTTCCAGTGACAACGCATGTTCGTACTGCTTGTTCCCAGTTATTGACAAGTCTGGGTTGATGAGGCCAACAGACTAGAACAAGTTGTTTCCAACACGTCTGAGATCGTCTGCACGTAAGAAGTTGTTAACAAGTTGATCAGTGACAAGAAGCTTAATAGGCAATTCCAACTATTAGTTTATGCGTGCAGGGGACGATGGGAAGTAAGGTATCACATTGCTGATTATGCTGAAAAAATAAAAATGGTGGCCGTGTAAACACGGAGTGATAGCTTATACTTGTAAATATTGAAATATTTCGGTTGTTTTGGTAGTTTTTATTGAAATTTTTCAGCATAATCAGCAATATGATACCTTACTTCCCACCATCCCCTGCAGGCATAAACTAAAAGCTGGCCATGGAATTGCCTATTGCATGGAGCAATTTTTTACGAAGAGCTTGTATATTTGTCTTGGAACAACTTGTATAGTAAGTCTGTTTCCCGTCATCAACCTTGTGACAACGTGATAAATAAACAGCTTGCTCCAGACTTGTTACATCAACTGGGAACAAGTAGTGCGAACACAACCTGATATCGGCTTGACAACAACCTAGTCAACCTTGTTGCAACTTGTTTGCAGATCTGTAACGACTTGCGCGTTTTAACGTGTTTAAAGTTATATATGCAATTAATTTTAATAATTTTATCATTGTAATATTATTACTTAAATTTATCCAAGTACTTCAGATTTAGTATATGAACAACGAATGAAAACAAAAACTTCAAATAACAAATTATGTTCAAAATGTTATTTAATCGATCTCCATGCAGTTCGGGAAGATACAAGACTATAGGTTTAACATCTATTGATATTTTAGAAACGTTCTAGACGGCTTTGCTACGCGTCTTCAAATTTATAACTGATATATAACTGGATGATAATATGAACAGAGATGGAAGCCGTTAGACTGGGATGAAAAATTAAACACATGCATGGGCCTTAATAATAATACCAGCTGGTTTTCACTTCCTTTTAAGGCTATATAGATGAAAATTAATTTAAGTCTCGGCAGTAGGCCTATCTGCATGTGAGGGTATATAATTAAATATTCATGAAGTCGATATCGAGTTTAGACATCATATTTATTTATATTTAAAAAAAACTTGAATCTCAATGTCCTTCATGCACTGGATATACAGCAAATAAAGTACATGGGTGCACCGCTATAAATTCAAGACTCTTTAGAAGACCGTACATGTGGTCATATATGCACTGTATAGCTATAAGACTGTGTGAAGCGGCTTAAGTCTACAAAATAAGCCTATTTATAGTAGTATTCCAACTGCATAATTAAATGTCAAAGACAAGCAATGTCAAAGACAAGCAAAGTTTTACTTAAAATGTGCAAATTATTTTAGTGCAATAGTGGGCGTACTTTGTGGTTTCACCGCAAATTTGTGCCTCACCACGATTTTCAAGAGTATCGAACTGCAATTAGAATAGCATTGTTGAACTGTATTATGATAACAATGGAAAACCACTATTCAAGTTCTAATATATGAATTCTATCGCCTCTGGCTCTGCAGGCAAGGAAGTAACAAACGCGGTACGTTAAGTCTCAACGTATGCCAAATTAATAAGACAATAACAACATGGTTTCAGGTATAGTATGTTTATAATCATTATACCTTTGTGATGGCAAAGGAAATCCACAATTTAATTCTATAATCGATCTATTTATACTATAGTATAATCCTTCAACAATACAACATATACGTCATAAATCGCCGTTTTTCATTTTCCCATTGCAGGCCATACATTTAGTACTTTGTTCGTTTAGTTATCATTTATGCTGTGTTTTTATCATGATGAGTGATTCATATTCATTATTCATAACTGCGAAGGCCGGTGTGAACTGATTACATGCTGTTACAGAAATATTGAATAACTGTTTCATGCGGTAATTATTTAAGCAGCCACTAAAAGGGTTTCTTCAAAACGTTTCTTCAAAACTGAATTCCTAGAAAATCAAAGCCCATGTTAATATATGTATATTAATACGGACGAGGACCTTTGCCAGCTTGGCTATCAGCAAATAAGCTACGGCGAAAATTTTACAACTAAAATGGCAGAATGAACAGCAGGAAAGTTATCATGCAAGGATGTAAGATATGTTTATTGTTTATATTGCTATTCAGTAGCATATAGATAGCGTTTAAAACTAATACATCGGCCGGAAATAGTTTCATTGAAATAATACTGCAGGGACGTTATCGGCGCGATAGACATGCAGTGTGGAATATAGTTGGCTATTGACAGTATTGTGCTTTCCGCCATATATACCTAGGGTTCAATGCAAATAACAGTAAATTGATCTTTGCAAACATATATCCCAGGACTGTTGGGATTCTTGCGAGATTTTCAGCGGATTTGAAGAATATTTAGTTAGGATTTTGAGGAGTTTAGTGATTTTGAAAGGGACTTATAGCGCGTTTTTAACTATATATTGTGGGATTTTTAGTGACTTATAGGTCGTTTTGGCCTTTGGGATCTGGGAACTAATTAGGATTTTCAAAAAATCTTTCAAGGATTTGGTATTTTCTATTCTTTTTGGTTTTGGGCAAGTGTATACGAGCATTTTTGAGGAATTCACCCCTCGTAAAACTGTACGGATAGTTAATACCAATGGCAGAATTACGGAATATTTAATAGAGAAATGATAGGGGTAACAGGGTATCATAAGGGATAATTGTGGAGTGAGGAAATAAAATTTACCACACCTCAATCCGGGCAAATATTCGGTGAGTTTGTTTTCCACGGAATATAGCCTGCATGCGCAGGAGGCTTGCGCTTTTTAAGCGGGCTTCATTGGCCTTCACCGCTTCAGTGCTTCACGAGGTAGAGATATTAAATACAGCTTACAAATAGAGGAGTAAATTATGGCGTCATTTTTCCGCCAAAATTAAAGATCGTATTTGCAACATTATAGTTCGTATTCGCAATATTATAGTTCGTATTCGCAACATTATAGTTTGTATTCGCAACATTATAGTTCGTATTCGCAACATTATAGTTCGTATTCCCAACATTATAGTTCGTATTCCCAACATTATAGTTCGTATTCCCAACATTATAGTTCGTATTCGCAAGTTGAATTTTGGCGGATGAAGGTGTCTAATCTCCGCCAAAATTCATGTGCTATAAAAACGTATAGCTTGTGCTATTATAAATTATAGATCAGAATAAAATATCGCTCAGCTCATCACGTCTTTTGTGTTGCCTATCAGAGGACACTATCTTTATCAGTGACTTTTGTTGTTAATCTGTCTTTTGTTCTCGTTCATTACTTAAACAAATTCGTTTTGCTTCAGTATTTGCATACGTGTATACTAATTGAATTCAAAAATGTCTCAAGTGCTTATTCGTTTCTCTGTCTCTGTCTCTGATCACTATCAACTAAATTTTTTTTATATATCAGCATTAACATCGCGCATTCTTTTGTGTTGCACAATTTGACAAGCTGATGAACCATTATATTTCATTGCGGGTTTCTTTAATAGACTTCCAACAACGCAGAACTTCATTACGTTCATTTTCGATTAGATTTTCGTTTGTTGACATACCTCCCCCTGCTGTTTAAAGTCTCATTTTATTTTTGGACATCGGAACAAACATCTGTCACATTTTACTCGTCATCATTTCATCCACATAAACCCATTTTCAAATCTACAATCGAGAAAAATACTTTATTAAACGAAACATCGGTTATGTAGCGGCTTACGAGCGATGCTCGATAAATAACATATAATTTTCGATGTTTATCGATCGAAATTACTCGACCGAATTTTAATTTAAAAGGCAACGTATTAACCTTGATGATGTAAACATGACGGACAGGTCTTTCGTTGCTAATTTTGTAGTGAAGAAACATTAAGACCAAATACGCCTTCTAGAACGGCCCAAGTAGAGCCTGATGCACACATGGCCGATTGGTTATCACATCTATGCTGAAATTCACTGGATTCAAATCATATTGCTGATAAAATATGGTAAGCCTTGATGCATGACATTTGATAATTTGTTCCTACGACATAAACGTTATTACGGAACCACATGTACTTGGGTTTGTAAGCAACCAGTGTTACTATGTTTGTATAATCGTTGCGTTGCAGTATGGCTTTATACATTGTTGTCTGGCTGATATGGTCATCGGTGGTTTCGGAGAGGAAAAGTGGCGTGAAATTATGTAAGTTCGTGATAATATATGTGATAGCCGTGATAGTTTTGACTTTTGTATTGAGGAGTAGCTCAAATTATCCATGTACTTGCACTTGTTCCTTTCTGTAGAGAAAAAGCAGGAGTACAATTGGAAGGAGGCTCGTACCTGATTCATAAAATATACACCGATGCCGAGACTCTTAAACTTGTCGGAACTGCGTGCGAAGTGCTTGGTGAGCGTATTATTTCAATATTTGTTTATCACTGATATATCAGTTTGATTCTAGCAGTGCATGACGAGCTTGAATAGGTCTTTACAAAAAGGCTGTCAACTGTGAGGTCATATGCCACCAACGTTTTTGGCGTGTTTTTTAATTAGTGCCCAGATGTAGAAATAGTACGTCTTTGTATATTTATACCCAGTTAGTGACCTGCAGCCAGAAATGGCCGTTAGTAACTCGATATTGGCCTGCAATGTAAGAAACAAATGGGCTTGCAAACACTGCATCTTACAACTTTCAAATATGCTCGATATCTTGTTTGCATATTATTCCCTGCCTTTCCACATACAAAACATTTCGGTTTTAGCAGCCGATTATCCAATTTCTATTTGCGGATAAAGGCTGCAAATCATTATGGTAGCCATCATTTATTAGGGGTCACCTATTTACACTATTGAGTGAAATGCAGTCCGTTAATTCGAAACAGCTACATGTATATGGGTAATTGTCACAATTGTTCTCGTTGTATTCCATAGAGCAGTCAACGTTGTTTCCCAAGGGAGGCTGGGTTAGTTGATTGTCAGTTTGTTGTTGTTGTTGTTGCGTGCTCGCTGCAGCCTTGTTGTATCTTCAGTAAATACATGGCCGTAACTAGATGCGATAATGGGGGGGGGGGATATTCATATATTCGTGTTCTGCCCAACGGATTTCTTTTGAAAGCGATTGTTTTTACGGTATGTGAACATGAATATATGAATATACCCCCCCCCCCCC